AAGACCTCCGGGGTCCCTTCCAACTCTGTTATTCTGTATTCTATGAGCCATCCCTTAATTCTTGACCCCTTGCAAAGAGGCGCAAATTGCTAAGGAACGTCGGAAAGCAATGCCTTACCTGATTTTGCAAATACCGCATTTGGATCTGGTAAATGAAGGCTGCCTGCGAGATGCAGAAAAGGAAAATAAACAGCTATTAGAAAAAAGTAAGATTTTTTTTAAAAAATTGTGGTTCAATTGCCCCAAAACAAAGGAATTGGCATTTTTCTACAGCTCTGTCAAGCGAATCCATAGATTTAGAGACATTCTAAAGGCAATTTAGAACAGTTTCCCATTTTAGCAATATTAAGATGTATGGACTTCAACTCCCAGAATTCCCATAGCTGGCTGGGGAATTCTGGGAATTGAAGTCCATACATCTTAAACTTGCTTGGATGGAGAAATACTTCACTTGATCCGTCCTAGGCTCAATGCAGGAATCTACGGTTGTTCCAGACAGAAGTTCCACTGGTATAGCTTCTGAGTTTCGGGGAAGAATCCTGGAACGCTTGACCTGTGGAAATTCAACCTGCCAGCTGCCAGGTTGCAAATAGATATGCAAATAGGGTGCAAATAGGATGCAAATAGAGGGAAGATCATTTCATTGTCCCCCCCCCCCCTTGCATAGCTAATGAGTTGCCAAAGAGAGGTGATGGGAATTGTAGTCTACAACTAGCTTGCAAATACTACTACAGATTAGAAATACAGGTAGTTCTTCAATTTACAGCCACATTTGAGCTCATCATTTCTGTCGCTAAGCGAAACATTGGTTATGTGGAGTTTTGCTCCATTTTACGACCTTTCTTGCCACCGTTGTTAAGTGAATAATTGCAGCTGGTAACACATTAGAAATTAGACAGCAAGAAGATAAAGAATATTATAAAATATGGGATTTATTTTATCAATGGCTAGATAAGAAAATAGAGAAATAAAATATATTATAATACAAATATAACATAATAGTAAAGATAAAACAATGTAATGATATATTATAACTGACTATAATGAAATGAAGGATATTATGAACTAGCTTATGAACTACTAGGAGTTAGTAATAATAATAATATAGTATGCATAGTTGATCTATACAATTTGAATTTTAATCTAAATTTAGAAGGGAAAGACTGTTGATATTGTGCATAAGAGATATGTACCAACCGACACACTGTACAACGGAAAGATGAATTTATTTTATGTTTTATGTTTGTTTTTGTCAATATTTCTTGTCGTAAGCATGAAATACGATCGTGACTTTTTTCAGTGCTTTGAACGATCACTAAACAAACTGTTTTAAGTCAAGGACTCCCTATAGTAAGTGGCCCACAGCCCTATCCTTGAAAACCGTCAACATTCTCTTAGATCAGGGGTGTCCAACCTTTGACTGAGGAATTCTGGGAGTTGAAGTCCACAAGTCTTAAAGTTGCCAAGGTTGGACACCCATGTCTTAGATTCTCCTAAAATTTTGTGTGAAAAGCAAAGTTTACCGGGAAGCTGGATTCACTTAATAACCGTGTCAGATTCACTTAACAAATGGGATCGTGAAGACTAACTATATATTTAGATGATAGTTGATAGATAGATAGATAGATAGATAGATAGATAGATAGATAGATAGATCATATAGCTAGATTGAGAGAGAGAGATTATGGATGGATGGATGGATGATAGACAGAGAGATGGTAGATGGGTGGAGGTATGGAGGGATAGATAGATAGATATAGCTAGATTGAGAGAGAGATGATGGATGGATGGGTGGATGATAGAGAGAGAGAGATTGAGAGAGAGATTATAGATGGATGGATGGATAGATAAATAGATATAGCAAGATTGAGAGAATGATGATAGATGGATGGATGGATGGATGATAGAGAGATTGAGAGAGAGGATGGATGGATGATAGAGAGAGAGATTGAGAGAGAGGATGGATGGAT